TTCCCTACCTTTAAAGTAAGGAGACTATTTGCCAGGTTCTAAATATTAGTATGTGATTAATATTTGAAAGATGCTTTGGATTTGTAAAGCAGTAGAAACGTTAGAGTATTAACATATAGCTAATATACTCTCCATCAGGGTCCTAAAATTGTCCTATACTTACATTGTATTTTATTAATATTTCGGAGTTCATATTTAAAAAAATCATATTGCTCTTCCGATTTACTCCAGTTGCAATGATATTTGACTCCAAACATCTTTTGCATTGTTCTGCTAGATGTCTATCCCATTTCCTCCATGATTATTGAAATTTCTTCAAGATCAAATTGTTTTATTAAATCTCTATTGTTCTAAGACTAACTCTATATAGAAATATTTTACAGTTTTTTGTAACTAAACAGATCAACATTGTCATTATAAGCGAAGACATGAAACACTTAGGCATCTGTTTATCAAGCTGGTGAAATTTTCTATAGTTACACTTTAAAAAACTTCATTACTCTTACATCTTTAGAAGATTTGTATAAAGAGGAATACAAAACTCACCAGTACACTGTATTTATATATTCTCTAGTTCCCCTTCCTACTCCTTAAGCGGAAATACTTTAAAATTTAAAGTCAGAATTACATTCTGGTAAGCAATGACTTTGTATTTTCTGGTTTGTTAAACGAAAGGCTAGATGTCAATCTCTCTTATCCTACTGAGCACCAAGGGCCAAAGGCAAAACAGGAGAAGATGTGAGAGTTCATTTTTGTCAAGCCACTTAATGTCCAGCTTAGTTGTAAACAGAACGCCAGGGAAACCAACATCTCACACTTATTTAGAAGTATTTCAGGGACAGGTTCCCCCTTCCATCATTTACTGGTAAACTGATTCACAGAACTTAGACACGATGAAGTTGCAGTCAATGTATTTCACTCTGGATCAGGACTGTGCTTTTGAAAGGAATCCCTTTCATCTCCCCACTTACCATGCTTTGATTTGCACTGAGGAGTGCACAACTTGAATCCTTTTCAGATTAAACCAAAATACATGATACGCTCCAAGTGTGCCCCTACTATGTTCTGATTGCTGAAGACTCTTCACATTCATGGGACAAGACTATAGCTAGTTGAACTGCTGCCCCATAACATGTACAGTACAGACATCAGGTCCTTACTACCAACTCTTCTGTCCTATGCAAAGTACTCCTTGCTAGTGCAGACAAAGTTTTAATCTTGTAAGGCCTCAAGCAAACTTTGTTTTGGCAAAATAAGTGTTAAGTTATATAGACCACATGATCAAGTCAACTCTTGTCAACTGCCCTTGAGTGTGCTCTACCCTAAAAACCAAAGTGTATACAAAGCAGTTCACCTTCATTCATAGAGGAGGACACAATTTTCTATTTGTCACAGGGTAAGCCTGCAACGCAACGAGAATTACCACAGAACAGCTGATGCATCCAAACTCACCGGCTTGTCAAGCTATGAGCTAAGGACACTTTGTGTGTGTCCTCCAGAGCATCATCTCTCAGATGTGTAGAACCTGCCCGTCAGCAGTGCTCCTTCTAAGGCCGCTGGAGAAGCACCATGCCAAAGGCTGATTTCAAGGCAGCCGGAATTTCCAAGCCACAGTTGCCTTTAATGGAACTATGATTTCACGTTCGAAGTTTCTTAGCAAGATAGAAGGGATAGCAAGAGGAGAAATACTTTTCGGTGCTACTTTTCCCTCAACTACCTCAAAGCAACTAGATAGTCCTAATATATTTCTAGAATACAAAAGGTACTTGGAATTGGGTGTCTCATTACACACTCAAAAATAGACGCTCCCTCACAGAAAACATCACAGTGGTATAAAGCACTTTCGAAACAAAAAGGCTGATTTTCTATTGATGTAGCAAAATGGGACCTACTCACGGGAATAAAACAAACACTTTAACTTGAAAATTTCTAAATTTTGGGGAAGAATGGTTCTGTATCTTCGGCATAAAAGTTTTATTTATTTTTTCAAGAATAAAACAGCAATTTGATCAAAGCTGCTAAAAATAATCCGACATAATTACAGCAGTCCAATAAAAGAATAACTGTTTTAACATGTAGGGTCAGCAACATAGTGGCAGAGTGGAAAATAAAAATCAAATGCTTGGTTAACATGAGTCCAACAATTCATTATTAAAGCATGGTTAATAATAAATTTAGTAAAATGAAAATAAATTGGCACTGTTTCCAGAAAAAAGATGCTAGTGCTTTTCTATTAATGTAATTTAGTAAAGAAAAAAGAAAAAGTCATATTTGTAATGTCTTACTCAGTAAAACCCAATCAAACAAGTTAAGCAGGGATATTTTAGAATTGTGGAGTTTCAACTAAGGGTCATTGTGCCTCCTCATTATTTAGACTAAGACATTTCATTCATGGTCAATGTATCCTTCAGTCAAACCTTTGAAATTACAGACATGATAATAACTAGAAAAAATAAAATGCCTTGCAGCTGTATGAAACAAACTAGCTCTCAAGCCACAACTCTGCAGAGATCGGAAAGTAGAAAAAAATGAGAAACTTGCACCAGATTGATTGCAGTAGCACAGTTGTGGAAAGCAAGAGTATTTTCGATCAAGTACAGTTCAACATATTTATGAGTGCCTACTGTAGTCAATTTAACAGGAGGAAAAATACACTGTAAAAATATTCTCTCTGACATTTCAAATTAAATCATGCTAAATATCATTTAGGTTATCTTTTTGAAAGCTATTGTTGTGGTTGGTGGAAATATTAAACTTATTAAACTTGCTATTTTTGAAGATCACCCCATCCCCCTCCCCAATTTTTTCCACCTACATACTGCCACACACTATTATAGATTATTGGGGTATTTTCTAGTGGTAATAAAAACTTAATTTGAAATCAATTTAAAACAGACATATTAGTGTTTCAGGAAACAACATACAATGATCTATTTTTAATTTTAACAGCCATTCCATGTGACATTTTAGTAGTTGTTAATTAGATAATTAATTAGATAATGAAATTCTTACCCCTAGGTTATATATTGACATTTTTACATTTTAAAAATCAAAATTTAAAATGTGCTGTATATTTTTTAAAAGGTTTAAATACAAAACCAAACAGAAATGAAAGTTAATTTATTCCTGAAAAGTTTATGGAGTTTGGTTTTAGCAAATGAAGATTTTCTTTTGGCTGGAATACGTCAGTTTTCTATTCAGAAGACTTCAGCTAATGAAGATACTTCTTTTGACCAAGCTAAATTCACACATTCTAGTTTTGTATTGGCTTGACACGGATTTTGTGCCTGTCCACATTGCTATGATATCTTGTGGAATTTCCAATGAACACTGTATGGTGTATGTATACATTGTACTTTGATTGTAGGCTACATTTGCAAAAATCTGAGTAAAAAAATGGGATTTTCACGAAGCAGAATGTTTTGTTATTTCAACACTATGAAAAATAAAAATAAGAATCTTCCCCTCTTCAGAATTCAATTTGCTTTGGAATATGAAAGTATTTCGTTTGTCCATCAGAGTCATTGCTTTCTCTTTCTGACAGGATGTGGAACATCCCAGGGCTTGCACTGTATCATGGAAGGAGCAGTCAATCCAAGGAGATCAACCTATAGAGGGGATTGATTACATGAGGTATCCAAATGCTACTCCTGGGACACCCTACCTCAATCAGGTTACATCACAACATTCAATTACAAAAATGGCTGGATATTGTTCTAAAATTTGCTTCTGAATTGAAAGTAAACATGGAGAGCTTCAACTCAGCAATTATTCCACCTGAACACATGTTTCTGAATGAAAAAGTCAATGCTCCACTGCACCTTTATTCTAGTGCTTAGGAAGAGAAAAACCAGCATATTAATGAAATGCTGAAATGTATTATGTTACCACTAACTGAACAGCAATGGAATGAGTGCTGAAGATATGGCAAAATTACACACTAATGAGAAAATTCTCAGTATTAGCATGTACTGACTGCCCAGTTATTTTAGGTAACAGCAAGAATCACAAGTAGTACATTGGAAAGAAACTGTATGATAACATCAAACATTGTGATATGCTCTGATTTCCTTACAAAAACACAAAAAATTGATAAACTACTTTATAGCACTTCTGAGTTTTCTATTTTAAATATTTCTTCTTCTGTAGAAAATTCTGTGTGATTCAAAGATACTTGCTATGCACAGCAACATCTTGGTACCAAATAAACAGCCATGTTATTGAAAGACTAAGAGTAGTCTGCAACTTGAAATGACAATATTTCCCAAACCATATTCTGGAACTCAGGGAGGTTGACTCAATTTAAAATGGATATAAAATGTTTTTGGTTGGTTGGTTTTTAGCCACAACAAAGAAAAGATACTGGTGTGAACCTTGATAAAGCTCCATGTGTAGAAAGCCCAGAAAGCATGACTAGAATAGGGGCAGAACTCACAAATAATGCTCTTTACCCTTAGTACTTTCCCTAGAACCTCTCATCTCCTGCAATAAACAGCTCTGACCACACTTTTTCTGTAGTAGTAGAAGGAAAACCAGACAGCGTCTGCTCCCACTGCCAAATACCTGTGCCACAATTTATTCTCTCTTCCTATAAAAATATAGTATGTTCAATTAACATTAGAACTGCTCACACTTAATTAATACAATTTAAGTTTCTTTTGTAAAGCAATGTTAAAGTTCATGGAAAATGTATCACTAAGTTACACTAGTTCATGTGTTATCTTTTTTTTTCCCATTTTTCTTTTAGCACCAAAGAATCAGTGTTATTATCTAACATTAACTAACACATTTCTTTTACAAATAAAGTTAACTTACTTTATACTAGGGATGATGGAGGCAGCTGGAAGAGGGGGTGAAAGTCGTGGAGGGACATCATATTCTTCATTTATCAGATGACCATTTGAAAAGACCTAAAAATCACACAAGTGTTACAACGGGTCTCTCCTCCCATTTATCATCATGGATGTTCATCAACTAGTTATTACAAAATAGACCTTGAGAAGATTATGGGTAAAAGCTTTCCTAGGAGTTCACACTATAGAGCTGTTTTCTGAAGTGACTCTTTCATACCTGTTTCAGCTCAACCCATTTGGGAGCTGTAGAACACGTTAGTTTAAAACTTCACTAAAAGAAGTTCTTCCACATCACAGTTACTAGATGAACTACTCAGTTACAGCTGAACTGCTTGTGAGAAAATTCAGATTTCGAGCTTGCAAACCAATCAAACTGAGAGAGACAAGTACAGTAGGAAAACAACAGGTAGAGTATGCTAAACATATTAATGTTTTTTAAAACTCTTTGATACAGTGCCTGCCAGAATCCACCCTCTATCCACAGGATTGTCTTCCTGATTCTTGGCTTTTACCAATAGCAAAAAGATTATAATACAATTGATACATGAATCAGGGATGAAAATTCATTAAATGTTTCCCTTCTAAATGTTGCATACAGCCTGAAACGATAATTCAGAGTTGTCATTTGCTCCATTTAACCAAATGGCTTAGATCTATAACTTGAAGATGACAGTTCAAACAGCATTTGGTTAAAGAAATACATATGTAACTTCTCCAGACTACAATGGCACTTCTACACTGCGTGGTTATTCTGATTTGAGAAGTATTCATTCCATCAGCTTCAATACTGTACCAGACCACAAATGGAATGCTATAAGAAGATATAAACCTAATATCCTTTTAAAATCGGATGAAAAGCTATAGCATTTTAAACAACAGCCTAGTTGTAAGTAAAATTTTGGTGTTTTGCCTCAATGCTGATAAAAGGACATTCTAATTATATATAACACCATGGACTTCTTAAGCACCTTTCATCATATATGTCAATGTTCTTTACCAATACTAACCAAATTTCAGTAACATACTTTCGAAATAACCAAAACATCCATATAAAAAAAAAAATTAAAACGGAGATAGAAAGGTTAAATAGCTTGAGACCTTGGGAAAAGCAAATAGAGAGAAAAATTGATGATTTCTAACTACTGTGACTTAACCACAAATCCATCCTTCTTAGCACAATCCATGTAGTCTTCAAGACAAAAAAAAAAAAAAAAAAAAGAAGAGCAGCTTTGAGGTAATAACCTGCTCTATAAATAAATTACTGAGCTGCTCTGATAAAACTGATTAGAGCGGAAGTAGGAATTTTTTCTTAGGCCATCACCACTTGATCTCTTTTCAAACCTAAGCCTCCCCAACTGTACATAGTCTTGTAAGTTGTCTGAAGCTGCCTAATGCCAGAACCACTGCCTCTATGCTCTCCTCCCCAGATATCTTCAATTAACATATAGAAACAACCCTTCAATTTTTTTGATAGAAGAAACACCATAGTTATACATACTATTCACTGCAACCAAGGACAGGAAAACATACTTCTCTTGTGGGTGACAAGCAGATGCCCTCTAGTCAAACCAAGCTAGACGATCAGTGGAAAGGTGGCAAGTGACAACTCTGAACACCCTCAGACTGAAAATGGATTATTGGACATTAAACTGGACATTTCTCCAAGAGAAGTCAAAAGATGCTATGGACAAATTACAATGTACAACTCCAGCAGCTGGAGTTCTGATTTAGGTATGAAGGAGGAAAAATTTAGCTAAAGATATGTGTATTACTGTAAACAATTGACAAAGAAAAAGCGAGTTGCTAATGCTAATTATCCTGAATAAGGTTTAGATCAAACAATGCAACGGGGGTCGTGCCACTAAGCACGTTGAAGGATGCTGCCCATACAGCCAGTGGTGAAGATACAACAGATGATTCTACATTTAGCTTGGCTTTGGATGCATTTGTTTCCTCTTTCTTAGGGTCAAGGCAGGTTAGATCTTCTTCATTAGAGTATACTGAACATCATGACTGATTTAATGCTCTGTTGAAAATAATGTGTTACTGATGAACAACACAACTGACCTTTAGAATATTTAGCTTTTTATGTTAATGCACACAATATATCTGGCAATTTAAGTATATTTGTATACATCAACTGTACATACTGCATACATTACAGATTGAAGAGGTTACCAAGTCCTCACCTCACCTATGACAGAGGTAACTGGAACATCTACTATTCCATCAGCAAATGCATACACAATTTTGGCATAAGACACTTCCGAAGTGGACCTTTGAGATCCTATATAACTATACTACAACATACAGTGCTATATTATTATCATGTACCAACTCTAGGGATAATTTGCTAAAAGAATATAGCAAGTCTAGAATTTTCTCTCCAAGCCGTTTTTTGAAGGGTTCGTGTTAAAATTTTAACTTAAGACCCTCATGTACTGTTGCTTTACAAATTACAGTATTAACAAACCATTTATTTATGACCAGCTTATTATAAAGTATCAACAGGAAAGATTCAGAAACAGCAGATCAACACTGACCAATATAAACAGCACTTTAGCCAATGCAAGACAATGCTGCAGTAGGGTATCACATCAGGATTCAACACATTCAGCTCATTTCATACCTTGGCACCTTCTGCAGGCAGCTCGTGACGTCTATGTTTCCTCATAAATCCTGGATCAGAACTTATGCGGTTGTGCCTTCCATTTATGTTCGAAATTGCAGTCAGTCCTGGTTTGGGAGAAGCATCACTCCCTATTCGACATCCTATTAACTGACTTGTCCCAAACACTTCTCTGGGACACCAGCCTTCAAGGGGCATCGGCTGGTCTCTGGAAGGCACACTTTCTGGATGATGCAGGTGTCTGCTTATCCTGTTGTCTGGTGGAATTGGAGGGGGTCTCTCTGGTGGGGGCGGCGGAGGATCACGCAAGGGAGGTGGTGGTGCTGGCAAAGGTTTGTCTTGTTTCCTTACCATACAAGGAGAAGACTAAACAACACAGTAAGTTAAAAAAAAAAGTTACATATAGGCATGCGTATTTCTCTCATGATCAAGTATGGCTTTACCATTTCTAATTGCTATCTTTTCAAGGCATCACAAGAGTACTTGCCAGCAGGTTAGATGTTAGTCTTGTCTTTGCATACTGCAAACAACCTGGCCTCTCTTCAGAAAGCATGCCCCCATTTCTGCTGTTGCATGAGTAACCCAAGGAAGGAGGTGGACAGGAAACAAGAAAACTGACTGAGGCAGATTTGTCTGACCCATAACTTTTTTCCAGAATCCTTTGCTTTGGTCCTTTGAATCACTTATTTAGCTGCTGAAATGAATTCTGAGGGATGTTTGGAAAAAGCTGAAAACCAATTTACCAGAAAAAAAACCCCAAACACTTATACAGGTAGCTGTATGGCTTCTAAAAGCACAAATCTGATAAAACCAAAACATTTTCACTAGGATTGAATTACTAATCAGCATTTTACAAAATAACACTTGGGCCAGGTCTTTACGAAATGTTTTTCTCTTACTACCAGCTACCGTAAGAAATACAGGGAAGATGATTTCCCCTGGAAGGTGTAATTTTCATGGACTCTGTAAGCCTGCCTATTATTACCACTTGAAGAGATGGAGGCCACAAAAGTTTTAAAGTAAGAATAGTTATTTGCTCTCACTTCACAGGTTAGCCCACCCATTATTCTTCAAGCAGCACCTCAACACGTTACTTAGATTGAAAATAAAGTTATTCTACCTGCAGTTCCATTCATATAAATAAGACAGTATACTAAATAAAGAAGTGTTTAATTCAGCTGCTGCTTAAGAAAAATAGTTATTCTCACTGTCAAGGCAGGAACATAATGGCTAGGTCCAAATTTTTTTCGTATAGTTATAATTATAGTTATAGTTTTCCATTGCAGAAAAAGAGAAGAGTTTTTTGACTGAAGAAGTAGTCTTGGCAGGACTAAATTGTCTTTTTTTTTTTTTAAATATGAAATTTTTTAAAGTATGTATTCCTTGTGGCCCCTATCCTATTTCCCTTTCACCCCTCAAAAAAATTTTTTTTTTTTCTTCAAGAAAAGTTTCAAGGAAAGAAACAGCACTTTCAAAATAATGTCACAGAAAAATTTAAAGCAATATTAATTATTTCTGATTTTCTGCTTTTTATAAGACATGAACTTTGTAAAACTATACCATTGTAAAATTAATTTTTAATGGATGTGCCAGATTTTTAGCATATATCCTCAATGTATTATAAATTCCTTTGTATAATATAAAAAGTGATCAAAGAAGCTTAAAGAAACTATTCAAACTTCTATTTTTTCCTCTAAATGTAAACTGCTAGAATCTTAAAAAGAGGTTGATTTTCAAGCTTGAAGTAAAAACCTGACAAAATAAATAGGGTACTTCATACTGGATTATTACGAGCACACAGGTTTCAAGTCATGTTTTGAACTTGAATTTGAATTCATCATCTACAAATCAAAATGTAAATCTAATTCCCCCTCTCTATACAGCAATCACAACAAAACTATCAACTCATAATAGAGAGCAACAAACATAGTATTTGTTCTCATTCATGCTTATCCATTCAAAAAAATCATTAACTCCTCAGTATCATTAGTTTCACAAAACACAGCATACAACTTATTAGCTATAGAGTCATACTCGAGTCCTAATATATGCCAGTTAAGGTTTTGAAAGCAGGTTATCTGCACATACTTTTCTTGTAAGAATACTGTGGAAATTGAGCATAAATCATCATCAGAGCACAACATATAATTTAAATGAGACAATGACCTTAAAAATCTATTTTCAGGAAACTTTCATTTCTATTTATTTTCATGAATTGGGGTTTACTACAGAATTGATCCATTACAGCAATGTCTTTAAAATTCTGACCATAAGCAAGTGCAATATAATCATTAGACAAACAGAGGTCACATTTGACTGACACATGTAGCTGTAAACATCTGACAGGCACTTGCCAAAGTCAACCAAGGGAGATAAGAGACGTAATCAATGTGGATCTAATCTAAAGTTTACCTAAGCTACAAGGAATTAAAGTTCTTTTGGACAGAGCAAATGCCTGAAAGAGAAAATACACATGGAAAATTTCATAATAGTCTGTCTTCCAACACAAAAAAGCAAGCTCATCTTGAAAACAACCAAACACAATTTCTCAATATTCGTATATAAAGAAATAATGGTTCAGTAAGACTTACCTTTGGTGATCCAGTTGGGCTGGCACATGGTGACCGTGCTACTCCCTTCTGAATAAGATCCAGACGAGGAGGTACAGGTGGAAGACTAAGATGTGGGATTTGCAGGGGGTCTGGAAGTGGTTTTCTTCTTTGTGAAAGAGGGGAAGATCCCGGGGAAGTCACTGGTGAATTCTGCCTCTCATTGCACTTCAAGACAGAAAAAAAATATTACTAGTATTTACCTGATGACAACTTCCATTCCATTACTAAAACATTTGATACTTGTCAGGTACTTACTGATTGTCATTTATCATAATGGACACCCTGCTACTTTTAATTAATAGACAGTATAGGTGCTTAGCTTACGATTACTGAAAAAGAAATGAACAAGTCATTCTACCTCAAAACTAATTAAGATCCAAGTTAACTTGTGATAAAAATAAAAGAATACATATTCCACTAATTTGTTTAAAAAACAAGCAATCATTGCCACACAAAATGAAACAATCAAAAATGTAGAGATTCTACTGTAGTACTGCTACTCTTGATGACCTTCTTATTCATAGAGAGTACTCCATCTAAAATTCTAGACATGACTTTTAAAAGCCAGATGCCTATGATATTGTCTGTTAACTGCAGCCCATTTTCAAATCATACTTCCATAGAAAATGGAATGTATGTGTCTTCTGAAAACTTATGAATCAAAATCATCAGCAAGCCAGTAGGCAATGCAGTTATTTCTTTCCTCATTTATTTGTTGATTTACAAAAGTCATTTTAGGACAATTCAGTTTATCATTTTAGCAAATATTAAACTAATGACACACACACACTTAACATCCCCCGAAGTGACAAATGATGATTTTTTTTTTTTCCTTGACTCGTCCTTTCAAATTCATCAGAACCAAAAATTTCAATCCTCAATACAGGCTCTACCCATTTTTGCAACTAGCTCCTGAACCTCACCTGGCTGAGTTTTAACAAACACAGTTTAGTTGTTTGCATGAATCAGTTAAAGTTACTTCTGTGAACCCACTGTATTTGTATCTGTACTGTAAGCAAACCTGGGTGTTTATGCTGTTGTATGCTTTCCCTGACAGTAGACATGAGTAGCTGGAAGACATTCACATCAAGCATCAGCCTCAGGCCACTTGTGCACTGAGGCATCCTGGTATTCTTGCTCTATAACTTGCCTATAGAGGCTAACAATCTGCCGTCTTCTTAAGGCAAGCATATAAAATTGCACCCATCTCTAAGCTAAATCACTTTGATGAAAACCTTTCTCCTCTTTTCATAAGCTTTTTCTCACCAATGCTATACATCCCATAGTGATGACAGGGATGGGACAAGGAAGTTCTTTAACAAGGTAAACAAGTAAACAACATTGCCTTTCTTTATATATAGTGACTATGTTAAAGAATCTGAAAACTTCATCAATTCAAAAGGAGATCCAGGAAAAGAATCTAGTATACTGACTCCTTACCCTATGCACGACAGCTTAGTTTAATATTCTGTCCTATACAATTGGGATTGCTCCCAGATTTCCTTCAGAAATAGGAGCTACCACAATATTACTGGATAACATTGCAAGAAAAAATGAGACAGAGGAGTGAGGAGGTATTGAAGAGCTAGAAGGCTGAGGTTCAATTCTATTGCAGAATGATTTTTTTTTTTTGTGATACGCAGGATCTTACCACTTGGTCTACATGTGCAAGCTCAATGTCACAACTAGACATTCAATTTCAAGAAATTAAGCAACTCAAGATTCGTGCTCTTCATGGCTACCAGAAGCTTCCCAGTTTCTCCTTTTTATAAAGAAGTGGTCACAATGTTCATATTAAATGGCTTGAATATAGTTCTTAAATTTTCTTTGTTTCCTTTAATTGGTGAATGTCCCTGACCTTGACTGGAAGTCCATGAGGATAAACACATGAATGATTGTGAGGTGCTCAGTCTCTCTGAACATTATGGGAAGTTGAATAACTAAGCTAGGTATGTATCTCTCAAGCACGCCTGAGCAACCATAATTATAAAATTACTACAAACTGAATGCCAATTCTTCTTCCTTAACAGAAAGCATCTATCAGTTAAATAGCATAATAAACACTGTATCATCTAATAGCATTGGTTTTCAAAGTTTAGTTATAACTCCATCAAGCATTCCTAAAAGCCAAGAGCCATGTGATGTAACATATTCAATGCTTTGGTTTCAGCATCAGACAGAAAATGAATTTATTTCCCAAATTACTTGAAATACAACTAAATAAGGAGGTGTCTCACCTCTAAAAAGATGCAATTATTTAAAATAAATGGAAATGGTGTAGTAAGTCTCTACATTTTAGGTGTTGCACAACATACTGTGTCTCAGTCAGCAGGCAATTACTCCAGAAGATCTAAAAAACAATGCTATATATATGTAATAGGAGTTGGAAACAAAGAATAAGAAAAATATGAAATACTGAAAACAGAGTACTGGACAGGAAACATTTGTTTGGAATTTAAGATGTTCTAATGGTCATACCATCACATTAATTAACTTGACTTGTGGGATCAAGTGCACCTTCAGCAAGTTT